GATCAAATCCTAATAAGGACAGAGTTTGCATAGAGAAGCCCAGCAATTGAATTCTATCTAAGGCTTGTTTTTGCCACAATGATTTGAAATGATCCCTAAATACTAACGGGGCTAAACCTATAGGAGACAGTAGTAACTTTAGCCAGAAGGTAAAAAGGAGAAACCATGCTCCGGCATCCAGTGAAACTATACCTAATTCTACCCTTAAGATGGCCTTTTTAACACTTTTTGGTACCATCAAAATGGCTCTCATAAACTTATTTTGAATGGTTTCAATTTTACTGAGGTTTGCAAGGGAGCAAATCTGAGACCCATAGAGGAGCTGAGGTATTACTTTAGCTTGGAAGACCTTGCATGCTGCAGGGATATAATGGGCTCCTTTTGAGTGGTAGAATCTTATAATTGCTGATGAAGTGCACTGTGCCACACTTGCTCGACAAAGGATGTGTGTATTCCAGAATAGAGAAGCATGGAATTGCACTCCAAGATATTTATAGGTGCGCACCTGTTCAATTGGGGTCCCATTTGTCTAGTGGAGCTGTTAGTAGAAATTCAGTAGAGGAGGAATGGAATCAAGAATTCCAAAAATCAGCTTGGCTAGATTGCCGGCTTGAGAACTAAGCAGGAGAACTTTATTACAAGGCCCACTGATTTAGTTTGTTGTTCTTAAATAAAAATCTGCTGTAAGGATACCTTCAAACTGTCCTTGCATTCACCTATGCTCCTAGTTCATAAAATTATAGCCCATTGTAATATAAACAAGAAACTACAGAGTCCTCAGAACAAATGGAAACTAGCGTAGCAGCCACCTGTCCGGAGGAGAATTGTGGGCACACCATTAGGTCTGTGCTGAAGTTATTGTTCCATCATCACAATGTCACCTGAGTCTCAGAGTTGGCAGTGAGGAACTCAGCATATCTGTGGCCACCTCCTTTAGCCCGCACCAGACTTCTTCATTTCTACATTTTGATGAAATAACAACAATAACGACAATATTTAGAAAGGGAGCAAACCAATTTTCATCACTATCATTATTTTCAAAAATGTTGATGCCCCCCCAAATGGTATGTGGGGAGTATCCTACAAGGGCTAGAAGGGTTGGCAAGTAATATTGAGGTCAGTTGGTGGTTTGTACATGTTTATGTCATCCATGGCAGCCATTTTGTGAGTGACCAAGCATCCTCTCCTGGCAGCCATAGGCACATTCTCAAAAGTTTAAGTAGGAAAAAGATTGGAGACTCCAGAAATAGGGGAATCCCCAGAGAAAGTGCTCTGGCATCAAAGGGAGGGTGAGCTGCATTAGAAGTAGTAGGAGGTGCCTCTCTTCTGGCTGTATGAACTATGAATTGCAAATCACTTGTTATAAGTCTTCAGACAGAGACTGGTTGGACATCTGTCAGAGATGCTGTGGTGGACCTAGCATTTAGAAGGACGGTGGAGTAGACACCTGTTACATTCCTTCCAGTTCTGTGATTCTGTGACCCCCAGTGTGCCCCACATGAACTGACTGTGAGATCCAGAGCAAAGAAAGCAAAGTTGACCAGGCCCAGCTCAGTATACCACTGAACAAGCCAACACTTTGGCAAGTTCCAAATATTAGTAGCCACCAGAACTGGCCTAGTGGCCATAGTTTCACTGACTTTTCCCAATGGGTAACAACCTGAGAATGCCCCTTCCCCCCCTTCCCTGAGCTTCCCTGGTAAGCAGACTGCCTTTGTGGGTACATGGAAAGTGCTTTTCTGGTTCTCCACCAGAAGCCTCTCATGAAATGCTACTTTTAGATTCTTAGTATAATCTTTACTCTTTCATAGATTTTTTTTTTCCCCGTGATGTTTTTCAGAGGCATAAATGGAAGCTCCTAATTAATGACACATCTGGTATGTGTGAAGTTCTCCTCAGGAGATAAGAAAAAGGCCCTTGAGAGTTATTCTCCAGGGGGGCTCCAGCATCTCAGTAGCCCCTGGAAAAGGGGGGCAGTTGGATTCAGGGCGAAGTGTGAGCCGCCCACAAAGATGCTCAGCCTGAATTCCTTTTGATGCTTTGTCTGCCTAATCAGAGATCCATTCAGTCAATTCTCAGCTAGTTTGGGAGGTGGGGGAGGGGAGAACATATTTTGATAGCAAATTTTAATGATTTAACTAAACCGAAGACTCTGAAGAAGTCAGATAAGGGTTTCCTTTTTCCCACCTGAATGTAATTGTACTTCCCCCCAACCACCCACCCACTGTACGATGCTTGCTGATTGCCTCTCTTTTTTATATAATAATAATTTGATTGAATGCTACAATTAGAGATAAAAATGAATGCAAACTAAAAAGAATAAAAAGAAAAAATAGAAAATGCAGAAAAGAAGAAACATGTAGAAAGAAAAATGGAGAGGAAAGAAAGAAGAAGAATATAGTAAAGAAGAAGAAAAGAAATATATAAAGAAATGACTTCCCTCTTCATCACAACAAGTATAAAGAATTTTAGTAACT